TCTTCCCACGCCTGGAACGTAGGCAACACCGTTGCCGTATAATTCTTCGTACTTCGTGCACCTATCGGCCGTGTTACTGCATCTGCACCCCACTGGAATGTCCCTTGGGCTTTTATTGCCGTCTCCCTACCATACCACGGCCACTCGCTTCGTGGAATATTACATTTTGGTAGATAGGCGAAATTATCGATTATACGATAGCATATCGCTTTTCATATAGAATAATAGCGTTCACCCCCGGTGGGCACACCACAGAACCAAACTCGCGTCGCTATTAGCCGGACGTATTCTTTTCGGACGGTACCAGGCTTGCGCTTGTGTTTCGTTCGATAGAGAGGACGAAGGGGATTTTCGCGTTTATGACCAGTGTCAGTTGTGATTAATCGGCTGGATTAATGTTAAACGTATCTGGATAAGGTTGTTCCCATTTCTGTTTCTTTTTTGTTTTTTGTGGATTTGGTGGATGTATGGGAGAACGGTTTTGGTGTTCTTCTTTTTTTAAGGCTTGCGTCAATAATTGGGTACCCTTTTGCACATTTTCTACTTGGAATATTTTATCTTTCCAATGAAAGATTTCAATTGTTCTTTTCCGTGTTTGCTTCAACTTTAGAATTTTGTTATCAGAGCTGCTAAAATTGGACGGTAAGGTAGAGGACAATTTTGGTTATCGATATAAGGGTGATTTGCATCATTTGAAAAAAGTGAAAAGTAGACCCTTGACACGATAGTGACAAGGAAAATTGCGCGTGTATATACGCTAATGATGCGAACGGATTAAAGGGATGAAGTTTGTTTGGAGAATTTGTAATAGAGGAAGAAATGAATTAATTTTTTTTTTTGTAAACAGAGCAAGTTAGGATTTTTTGGGATTAAGTTTGTTCGGAGAATTTGTAATAGAGGAAGAGATGAATGAATTTTCTTCGAAATGGAGGAATTCCAGATTTCGTGGTGTTGGAAGATTATGATCATCACGCGGGGGATATATAAATCTTACCTCCTTGCAGAGAAGGATAAATGTAGAATGAGGGCTCCTGTAACCAGGACACTACGCGCACCAAATCTTTCACGAAGCTAGGAACGACGCATCGTAACACTGCGGTGCAGCCCCTCGATGCACCTTCGACCACTTCCACGTCGACTTTGTATGCCTGGGCCACCACTGCGAACAAATAAACGTAAACTTACTTTTATGCTTCCGTGTAACCTTAGGGGAAATATGTGTTAGTAAAAATTTCACCCAAGTAGTAAAAATGTCGTTTGTGTAATAGGAGAGGGATATTTTATTCAACGCAACAGCGTCCTTTCAAAATATTCACCCCCATTCGTTGCAACATTTACTAATCGTTGAATATTCAATATTGCTAATAATTCTGTAATATTTAATACTACATTGCTTATCTTCTCTTATTTTCTTCTCTACAGTTAGTTTTAACGATAGCTCTTCTCTTGTTAATTGCAATAAACTGGTAATTGAGTGTTACAACAGTATAATAAAGATGTAATAACAATACCACTGCACCATTCGCATAATCTCACCTCAATTACAGCAAATGAAAATCCACCTTTCCAATTATTTCTCAAACAAGTGTCTAGCAAAACCAATTAAAACGATCCACTTAATCAAGCCATCACACTTAAACACCATCCAGCCATCAAAACTAGCTCCAATTTTTCCCCATTTCCCAGCCGCAAAACACTCACGATTCGACCCCTAAACACTCTGATGGCGCATCCTCGTTTAAACCGAGACCTTTAACGAGCGTCCCCAACCTCTGCAGACGACCTGCCCAGTTACATTAATCCCACCATTCGACCTAGTGCTGCGAAACACGGGTGTTCAAACGTTCCCGCGAAACGACAGTTCGCGCTGACGGTAATTAAAACGCGTTATACGTGATTCGATGGCGCGTCACCCTTTCCCTTGCTCTTTAGATCGTGTATACAGGAGGCTTCAAGAGCATGTACGCAAATTGTACAAACTAGTGTGATTTGATCGGAGAAACGAGAGACTTATTCGTAGTAGGAACCGATGAATTGGCTGGTCAAGATCACTTCTTCTGCGTCTTTCTTTAAAAGTAATTTTTAACAATTTCATTGCACAGTGTTACAGAGTTTTTATTGTAATAACTTGTTTCGTATCTACTATAGTTTTCATAGATTTTTTAGATTTTAATTCAATTTGAATTTTTTGTTTTTTATAGTTACTACTGTTTTCACAAGAAACTAGGGTAACACACGTTAATCTTTAATGCGTTCACTGTGGCAGCCTTTTCTGAGGATTCTCCTGCTTGGCGTTTTACATTTCTTTCATTACATTTTCTTATTTTACCCTAAGAAGCTTCGATTAGTGCTTAATACGGCGAAAATAGTGCAAAAGTGACGGAAGTATAGCTCGGCAAGTAGCTAATATTCGACGAAAAACGGGTCGCACAGTGGTCTACATGCCTCGTACCACAGTGAACGCGTTAAACGACGTTTTCACCCTGAAAAACCAAAAAGTATCGACCAAAAAAAATTGCACGACACTTCTATCGAAGTCCATTACAAATTTGCAAAGTTTTGCAAACAACTGAAATCTTCCAGTTTACCAAAGTTTCTTCGTAAAACCGTTTTCTTTCTCTCGAAAGGATACTGTTAGAGTTTAGCTTGCCGAGGTTTATGACATGGAGCAGGCAGGCAGTTATCTTTGAGACCTTTGTTGAATGCGCGTACCATCCGTGCACCAGCATTAGGATGGTACGTGACAAAATTAGTTTTTCCCTTTTTCACCTTTTTAATCATGTTTCGCTAGTTCATAGAATTTAGGACTCGGTAACACAGGCCATGTCATAAACCCCGAAGACCCAAGCGGTAACCTGGCGAAAGACGACGTCACCAAGTCCGGGGTTTTCTTCCTAACGGTGAACAGTTAGTCACCCCCATCTCTCCCACTTTCTCTCGGGAAGAACCCAGTTCTCCGTCCAGAAAAGACACACGCCAAGGGCGCAATGGAAGGGAGGACACGAGGAAAGGGAAACGGGAGTGCTGGGACCGGACAGGGTTTTTAGAGGAGTAACAGAAGAGAGATTACAGAGACAAGACAGTCAGAAGCGTCACTCATTACTACGGTCCCAAAGCCGTTATCAACCTTTGGGTGGTCCTTCAAGAAAACTATAGGCGGCACGTAGTGCAATATTCAGGGCTCGAGTTCACCCTAACAGATACCCCATCCGCTCGTACAATTTGCAACTACGCTTTTGTAACACCCTGTACAAGCACACATGCACGCACACGTGTCAGAGTTACGTACAGGGTGTGACGTCGTTACTCGTCGTCGACAACCGGGTGAATCTCGACGTCGGCGTCGGGGAAGCGGCGAGGCGTGAGACGACGCGAGCGTAACGAACGCCTCGCCTCGTCCTCGACGTCTGCCGGTCGTTTTTCTCCACTCTTTTTTTGTTTCTACCGTCGCCCGGCCGCTCGAGGGGCACTATACTCTTCCGGAGATTTTATTTACGTGGAAATTCCAAGGGCGACGGCCAGCTGCCAGCGACGCTGCACCCGCTCTGACACGCCGACGTCGCGACGCCGGCGAAGTCTCTCCCGCGTTTCCTGTTCTCTCTCCCTCCGCCCTGTAACATGCCTGAATTTCTTCCGTTCTCTCGTCAATGTGCCGCCGCGAACCTTCCATACGAAATTCCCCAACGTTTCACCCTTTCCGCTTTATTGGCCCTCTTTCTCAAGTTCCTGAACTTCTGGTGTGTACAGGGTGTCTTGGAAGTAGGGCGGTGTAGTAGAACGGTGGGTTTTCGGAATCGAGAGAATATGGTGTGTTATTGGAATGTTTACGAGATTCGGAATACTTTTTCTGTGTTTTTCTGTGTGTCTATATTTCCTTATCAGAGTTGAGGAATGTTGAGATTACGGAGTGGATGTGGATATCGAGTTTGAGAAGTTGCGAAGAATATGGAAAATTTGAAAATTAAATTTTGAAAAGTGACAGTCACCGATTTCGACGAAACTCTGACAAATGATAGTACTCGAAAAAATATTCGACAGGTATTTTTTTATATTAAAAATCGTCCACGCTGAAGGGGTGAAAATCGTCCTCAAAGTTAGGGGTAGTAATCACACTTGTCCTAGTACCTCGAAAACTATTAAAGATAAAACAATAGTATAAATTGACAAATTTCGTACTTTAAATAACAAATTTGACTGTGTGAATAGATTAGAAAGAAATCCATTCGTTTAAACAATACATTAAAAATTATTACATATTCCTAAATTTTACTTGCAAAATATTTATCAATTTTCCTGAAAATTTATATGTGCAGACTGCACACCCAAACACAAAACACGGATAAATCGGAATTTCAATTTTTCACAAATTTACAAAAACAATTACATATTCGATACAGACTATAGCGCGTATATTTGGAAAACTGTGCATTTGCATCCAACACTTCTACTCTGGGGAATCTCGGTTTCAGAAAAGCGCACGAACTCTTGGATCAACCTAATGTCTCCACGCTCCGGCGTTTTTCGCTTGGTATTCAGCCTGTCACGCCGCCGCGGTAACGATATTCGGTCAATTTTTCAGGGGATTCGAATTCTCTCGCAGCCACGTCCCACCGCTATCACTTCCTATCCTTGTCGAGGGCTCGAATGTTTTTCGTGTCGCGGGCAAACTAATAACGCGTTGATCGGCCGGTGTGGAAAACGCGGGCTCGACGGTCGATGGAAATTCTTCGGGAAATGAAAACACTTAAGCGCGACACGACCGTCGAACGCTCTCGAAATTGGAATCTCGCCCGCGCTAGCGAAGGACGCGGATTTTAGAGGGGGAATCTGTGATTGCTGAGCGACGGGTGTTAGATGGTTCGCTTTTTCCACAGAGAAATTTCCAGTGGTTCTATTTTTTTCCCATTCTTTTTCCACTTCTTCGCAGAGTTGGCGAAGTTGCACATCGATCTTCATATTTGGATTGATCGACACTTTCGTTGAGTTTGAATAAATAAATCTTCTCGAGGATCTAGAAATTTTTGCGCTGATTTAAAGAGCTGATATCGAGGAAGAAAGTTAACCCTTTGCGGTCCTATGTCTAGTCAGACTCTGATATAGAATTTTTGCCTTTAGATATCATACTAGGGTAGATTGGAAAGTTCACGGCCTAAGTATGAAGGACTGCAGCTAAGTGCTTGTAAGTTTTACCGAATAATATGTAATTAATTGTGTACCAATGTATACAGTTTCGTGTCTCTGTCGTGCCTCGCAAGTAGAGGTATTTGCAGTAGATGGAGTAGAGATGGACAAAATTAGAAAACGAACAGCGATCCAATACCTGAAGATAAGGGACCTCACTTCAAAGATCATTCAAGGACCTTGCAAAAATTATTCCTTGCGAAAATCATTCAAGGTCCTTGCGGTGATGTCCTTTGTCACTAGGTACTGGATCATTCCTCACTTCTATTCGTCTCTTCTCCGTCGCTATAAACACCCCTACGTCACCAGCTGTAAAAGAGAACAAGAAACTGACAGAACCGGGCGGTGATGTCCTTTGTCACCAGGTACTGGATCATTCCTCACTTTTATTCGTCTCTTCTCCGTCTCTGAAAACACCTCTACGTCACCAGCTGTAAAAGAGAACAAGAAACTGACAGAGCCAGGAAACTTCGTACGTCGGTACGCAACTGATCGCAGATTACACCGTAAAAATTGCAAGCACCTAGCAGCAGTTCTTCCTACTTACGCCGCGAACTTTTCAATCCACCCTCGTATAATGATAAATTATTAATGATAATAAACCTTTTCTTTATGCATTAATATTATACTGAAACTTAATATTTTATAACCGATATTACGTTGAAATATTGAAATAAAGGGAAACTACATGGTACTGCCCGAGAGTGACCAAATGAGTGCGGACAAGCTGGACTACAGTATATTCTCCACAAGTGTCAGACCGCAAGGAAGCTAAACCTGACACTCGTAGAGTCAGGGACTACGTTTTCGAGCCTCGCGCCCGCCTTTGTAGTTTGCCGAACTTAGACAAGGACAGCGAATAAAAGATAAGGATGAAACGTGAGTCGAGGCAACCAACCAATTTAAGTATCAACTTTTTTAATTTTACGTTTTTTTATCCCGGAATTTTTCTTAACATATTGATGAGATTTTTCTGAT